TTAAGTTGACACTTCACCTGATCAACTGTTATGGAGAAGGGGGTGGATGACTGAGGTGAGGATATGGGGGTGGTGGAGGGTGAGAGAGGGCAGTTGTACTGGTGTGGAGGGGAGGGCTGGAGGTGAATGGGAGTTGAAAGTAGCGGGTTGAGGAGAGGAGGGGGAGCTGGCCCAGGGAGGTGTGAAGAGGTTGCAGGGCAGGTAAGGGGGGAGGGGGCAGAATCAAATCTGTTGAAGAACAGATTCAGTTCATCGGCCCAGTTCTTGTCGCCGCAGCTCAGGTCTCTCCTCACTCCTTTTCCGTGGCCAGAGATGTTCTGCAGTCCACTCCAGACATCTCTGGTGTTATTCTGCACTAGCCGCTCTTCCAGTTTCTGTCTGTAACAGTCCTTCCCTTTCCTGATTTTCTGTTTGAGTTCCTTCTGGCCTCCTTGTCCCCCGATCTAAAGACCCTCTTCTTCTCGTTCAGCAGGGCCTTAATCTCGGAGGTCACCCAGGGTTTATTGTTGGCGAAACAGCGTACTGACTTGGAGGGCACAGTGTTCTCCACACAGAAGTTAATATAGTCTGTGATGCAGTGGGTCATGGTGTCGATGTCGCCATCGTGGGGGCTGCAGAGTGCTTCCCAGTCTGTTATTTCAAAGCAATCTCTGAGTCTGGCACTGGTCTCCTCGGACCACACCTTCACAGACCTCTTCTCAGGTGGTTGTTTATTCACCAGAGGGATGTAGTCTGTGATCAGATGGACAAGGTTGTGATCTGAGCGTCCCAGCGGGGGGAGGGGGGATGAGGTGTATGCATTCCTGATATTAGCATGCAACAAGTCCAAAGTTTTATTGTCCCTGGTGTGACAATCCACATACTGGGTGAAGGTAGGAAGAGCAGAGGACAGGGACGTGTGGTTGAAGTCCCCAGAGATGAGGAGGAGGGAATGGGGGTGCTGGTTTAGGAGTTGAGAGACAACACTATGGATCTGGTCTGTGGCTGCAGTGGTGACGGCCGAGGGGGGGACGTACACAGTCACCGCAATGACATGTGAAAACTCTCTCGGGAGATAGTACAGCCGCTAGCAGCTCCAAGTCTCTAGTGCAGAGTTGTTCCTTGACACTGATGTGTCCAGGGTGGCACCATCTCTCATTAACGAACACAGCAACCCCTCCTCCCTTCTTCTTACCGCATTCCGTGGTTTTCCTGTCCGCCCGTACCAGTTGAAATCCATCCAGTGTGACATGTGAGTCGGGAGAAAGTTCACTCAGCCACGTCTCCATGAAGCACATGATGCTACACTCGCGAAACTCTCTCTGAAGCCGGGTTAGCGCAGTAAGCTCTTCCATCTTATTTGGGAGTGATCTTACGTTCCCCATGATGACAGACGGTAAACATGGTTTATAGCGTTTTTTCCGCTGTCTGCACTTCACTCCAGCTCTACAGCCTCTCCTCCTTTTCCGGATCTCGGCAGGGATCTCCGGCTGCCCAGCATAGTGAAGGGGTGTGTGGGATATAGCTAACAGCTGGTCCCGAGTGTAAACAATGGGTCCGTGGTAGAGTGAGTCTCCCAACGTTGCATCAAAAAGTTCAAAAAATAGCAAGAGGCAAAACACGACTGTAAAAGTATAAACACCCATAGCTGCACTTGCTTAAAGTGTCGGTGTAGTATGAGAAGAAATCACACTAAGTAGTACAAGAAAAAAAAAAAAAAATGTGTTGAATAAAGAGGGATAACAACATACTGGAGCAGCTGCAGTTCTTCTTACCGAGAATTAAGGCCAGACCTGTGTAGGCCAGCATACATAACAAATAATTCACATGCGCAATCTTTTAATTTTTATAAGCCAAGTCTAGACCAACTGAACCAAAACAACAGAAGTGCCTCAGAGTAATTTTGTAACTTTTAATCATCATCAAGTTTTCCTTCTTGAAGATTTTGACAACTTTAGAGTCATCTGGTCAACACCGGCCTCCTCTAAAGTTATCCAGCCAAAGTGAAGAGCATTAGAGTTTATTTCGCATCAACCCGCAAGAGACACCAGCAGAGACACCTCTGCACAACCGCCTGCAGAGAAGCCGAGCAGAAATCAAGAGTGCCCGAGACAGAAAGTCTACTGGCAAACTCCACCAGAGCTGAACCGCTGAGACACCGGCAGAATCCGTCATCTTGATAACGGGACACGGCCTCCAGGAGAATCCACCTAGATCCTGCGTCTCCAGGGTTACCACGGCAACCACAGCTACCTGGGTTCCAGCCGAGGGTCTTCAGCTACAGTGCAACTCACAGTAGGCCGGTCTTAACACTCTGCTCATGACTGGGTTGATGTTGAAATATAGCAATATTTAATCATCAAACCTTATTCGTAGATGTAGTGTCATTAGCTGTATAGCCATAGTGTATAGCCATAACATATCCTCTCCCACCATTGCCAACTCATCACACTGCTCATTTCCTTATTATTTTCATCTTTATGATTATTACACCTTGCATTTACTCTGTAGATAGTAGTTTAGTTAATAAACTCTTTTATTTACACCCAGTTGTTGTCCTGTTGTATTCTTTTGACGTAGAGACTGGAGATCCATTGAATCGAGAAGTCATGGCTTCCGATATGAGATTGATAAATTTGGCAATGAAGTAATTCATTGTTGTCCTCCTAGAGGACTGGTGCCCCATTTCAACGAGAGTAAATCCTAAAATATGGCGTTATCGCTACATAGCACTGACCCACTGCGACACATGAATAGTCTCAGGGAAACCAGGCTGGTCAAGGTCGGGGCAGACCACAGAGTAAAACAATTTCCAATCTTTCACAGACATGCCCTGTGATTCAGCATTTCTGTAAAAAACGCCTGACCTAGTACCCCCACACAGTGTAACTTTTCTATCATGATATTCAACAGAATGAACGTACACTATCTTAAAACCATCCAAAGGCTCTACACGTCTCTTTTTGCGATGAGGCACATCCGGTTCAGAATAAGCACACATACCTGCAATACTGCAGGCATTGTTGATGTCCAGTTTTCCATTGTTAGGCATGTTTTTGCTAAAAAGCGTCCTCTTCTTCTTCTTCTCTGAAAAAAAAAGGCGGAAAAATGACTGCGGATGAACAGCGCATATATACAGTATTACAATCGAAACACACCCACTATGAGGTGCGTGAGCAAGTGACGTAAACCAATAAACCGTAAACCATTAAACCATTAAACCATTAAACCATTAAACCAATAGAAAAATTCTCCCTAATTACGGGCTTACGGGAGGAGTCAATGTTGGGAGTGTGCAAGGGTGCCATACTATTACTACTGAGGGCGGAGCTCAAGAAGCTACTTCCTGAAAGGGCAACAGGCCTGGATGGTGTGTGTCTGAGGCTGTTAAAGGATTGTGCAGCCCAGCTGGCTGAGCCTCTCCAGAGGATCTTTAACTTAAGTCTACAAACAGGGAGGTCAGTCAGTGGTGGCCAGTGTACAATTTTATTCTGCAGTCTGCTGGGGCAGCAGCATGTGTAACATGAACACAAGGAGACTGGAAAAGCTGGTCAAAAAGGCTGGGTCTGTGCTTGGCAGGGGTCTGGACTCACTCAGGACTGTTGTGGAGAGACGCATGCAATGTAAGATGGAGGCCATCTTAAACAATACCAACCATCCTCTCCACAACATTCTGGCAGGACAGAGAAGCAGCTACAGAAGCAAGCATCTCATCGCATTGCATTGCAGGCATATAATTCCAAGTGTTACTGACCTTGTCTGTGCTACCAGCTGTTGAGGAGTTAAATTCTGCATTTTAACACTGCACTGTCTCTGCTCTTCTTTGTTCATTGTCATTTTTACCACTAATCAACTGCAGACTAAACAATGTGCTTCCTGTTTATACCAGTTTGCACATGCCCAGAGTACGTGATTGCTCAGGTATGTGTGCGTTTTCAGGTGTGATAGTCTGGATAGAGAAAAAACGCTCATCTGGACAGACATCGTTTTTGATGGAAAATGCTGTTTTAAAATGAAAACATTAGGGTGGACGTAGTCTGATACTGAAGCATCTATTGGGATATTCAGCCATCATTAATTTCAGTATTTACACCAGTGCTTCATTTAACATATGTCTAAATGTCTTTGGTAAAATGGACCTATTATCAACACACATTTGTCTTAAACACTGGCACCCAACAGTGGTTCTGGCTTGTAACCCCTTAAAATGAAACCAATTTTTTTATGAACCTTCAGCAACAGTTCTGCATAGATGCTAAAATAATTTTAATTAATTTACCTTTATCAATCTACACTCAGTACCCCCATAATGACAAATACAATTTTCCAAATTTATTAAAAAGGAAAAACCGAAATAATAAATTTGTAACAATTTCTAAAATTCTGATTTTGTTACAAAAATTTAACATTCTTAAACGGTACATACAAACAATTTAAGAGAATTTATGGTATTCATCAATTTTCTCATACTTACAGTTTTCTCTTATGTATAAACAAAATTCATGATTGATCCCGACCTGTCGTACAAGTTATGAACAGAGACTGCCCTTCTTAACAGGGCAAAAATGCACTCCTTTGAATTAATTATAGTTGCTTAATCAGGATGAATTTTGAGTTAAATATGATAGGAAATTGATTTGATAGTATCTAAAACAAATTTAAAGCAAAAATAATATTTCACCATATCATCATTGTCAATTTACTGACAAGATTTTAGTATTTTCAGTGGCATATTTTGGCACATGAATTTCAAAATGTGTCAATTTCACAACTTCTAGTGATAGAATCCCAGAAAATAAGAAATACTTAATTGTTTTCAAATTGAAATGTTTTCAAATTTGAAGAGATGTTAAAAATGTTTTTTTTTTCTATTTTTGATATCAGTTTGAGTAGTCTAAATATCACAGTTTCTATTTTCACTAATTTGAAAGCCAAGGAAAATGTGACGTCACCCTCCTTAGGGTAGTGGTGATTGTGGTGAATGATTGGCCACGCCTCTGTGCGCGAGAATTCAGGCAGTAAAGTGAACGTCGGGTGGTGGAGTGTGATTGAAGCTACTGAGGAGAAACAACAGCAGGGGGAAACACAGTCTGCCGGTCTTATTTGCACAATTTTGACAGGCTATTTCCTCTAAAATGGCGTATCACAGTCCTTACAGAGCTCCACCGCAGATCAGCGCTCCCCCGGATCAAGGTTTTCTGTGGAATATCTTTCAGAGGTGAGTTGGAGCAGGCGGTTTGTTTCGCTGCTCTCAGCCTGTCTGCTTTGCAGACTGCTGCCGCTGGTAGCACGGAAGAGACGAAGGGAGTGGGGCTGAGTGGTGGTGACACTATATGTTTCATTGACTGCTAGTTTTTTGTCTACGCTCCCGTGTAACTATTTTTGGCTGACAACAGAGCTCCGCAGTGTAATTAGTGATTTTTTAGTTCTAAGATTACCTCTCAGCTGCGGAGCTTCCTGGCAGTACTGCTGCACAGTGTGAAATAAATAGCTATAGCCATAGCTATAGCTACGACACGTCACTGAGCAGGCCACATTACAATTCATTACATTACGTACGATCGGTGTTACACAGCTTTATTATAGGTGTTGAACCGTCTTGAAATTATGCTGGATCAGCGAACTGTCACCTACACCAAGGACCTCCAGGAGTCCTTGACGGGGTTTTGCCCAGCTGTTCCCCGCAAAAGAAAGACAGTTCAATTTAAGTTTTTTGTTAAAAGCAGAAATATATATATTTAATGAATGACTCCTTCTACCACAATTTGAATGATTCTGTATCAAGTCAGCCGAGAAAAATCATCTCAAGTTACGGATTAAAAAAAGTCTGATAATTGTAGGTCTATTTGATGCAGTGTTTATGGGAGGATGGCATGAATACTAGAAAGCAGATCTGCAAAAATAATGCAATCTGTCATATCCTGTATTATTATTTCCCCATTTTGATGGTATAGTCTCAGTGACAATTTTCAACCATTGATAGCCATTAATTTCACAATAGTCTGATCAAAAGTGTGTCAGCAGCTAAGAAGGTCGCAGTTAGTAGGCAGAGAGATAAATGGCTGTTATGCTTTGGCCACTGGTATTAGTAAACTATAGACTTATGTAATACTGCAGAAAATTTTTGCTGCTTTGCTTTCTCTCACTCAACATTGAGTTGCTGCTGGCATTGCAAGGCTTGAAATCCCCCAAATGAATTATTTATGTATCGTCCCACATCCCTTAGAAATTAGGTCAGATGTATTCATTTTGACTTATATATATCATTCGTATATCATATCATGTTGTTTGTTGCAATCATTACTTCTCATGCCTATCATGACGCTGTATACGTATTGCTATATACACACACAGCATTGTCCTGCTTCATTTGCTGCCTCTTGAGGAAAATCTGGCATAACAGTGCTGGAATTCCCTCAGTCATGTGATGAGATTCAATAGAGCATAGTTGACGTGAGAGGCCTCTCTATCTGACTCACCCCTACCAATATGACTCACTGTCCTACTGATGTGCTCCATTCAGCTCATGTCACACATTGTATCTCCATTTTTATGCTGTCTAATCATGAATCTGTCTTTTTCTTACTGGATGTGTCATGTCAGTTGATGAAATTAAGTCATTCATTCTCAAGGTGTTTTGCACAGTGAATGGTGAAGGTAGATGCCAACTAATACGATCGTGCTTTAGTTGGCCAATAAATTGAGTGCACCAGCCGTGACAGCAGCGCTGGTTATGTTTTCACCATGTGGATCTATGTTTGTGTGTGTGTGTAATCATGGCAACATGGAATCCTCCAAATGATTGCAAATTTTTTTTGGTGTATATTAGTGTACTTTTGGCCGATTGACATCTATCATATGTTGTTTCGTCTGACGATGGAGTAAATAATGTGCATGAAGGAAGAACTCCTGGCTTTAAAGTATATCAGATATGGAATTAAACATCCCATACCAGCTGAGTGGTAGAAGCCATACCGTAGATGCAGAGCCAGGGCTAAGATAAAGGCTAGAAGAGGAAGATATAAGCCATTTCTACCATCGATGCTCTCATGGGAAATGTCAACTCCTTGACTAACAAGTGTGATGAATTGGAGGCACTAGTGAAGAACCAGGAGCAAATCAAGAGTGTAGTCTCGTGTGTTTCACAGAGACCTGGTTAAACAACAGGCAGAGATGCCAGAGCAAGTGGAAAGAATAAAGGTGGAGGACTGATTCTGCTTGTAAACAATAGAAGGTGCAACCCTGGTCTCAACACAGTGAAGGGGAAGATCTGCTGTCAGGATATTGAACTGTTGGCAGTTGGTCTTAGACCTTACTATGTACCAAGGGAGTTCTCTCACATCGCTGCCATTTTTGATTGAATTCAACCATGAGTGGCACCTGTAGTCACGTTATCGGTTCTGCCTTTGGTACTTGAGAAACTAAGAAAATAGAATTCCTGTTTATTATTGTGACATAAAAGTTCTCCCATGTCACCGAAGAGCACCGTACAGCACACACACATACACAAGACCCTTCTCTTAGTGTCTATGGCAGATAGAGCTAAACGTTTTGAAGTGTGGTTCAGTCTTTTGCATGTAAGAGCGATCTCTGAGTGCATATGAGAAAATAAGCAATGTCAGTTCTTAATTTCTTTTTCTCTTACAAAATGACAAAAAGTACTGATAAGAGTACCGTTAAAGTACCGGATTGATAAGTGGTCTGCATCTCCCTCCACACTAGGTCAAGTCTCCTGTCTTTTACAGTAGAGGAGGTGAGGGTGGAGCTCAAGAGGCTACGTCCTGGAAAAGCAAAAGGCCTAGATGGTGTGTGTCTGAGGTTGGTAAAGGACTGTACAGCCCAGCCGGCTGAGCCTCTCCGGAGGGTCTTTAACTTAAGTTTACAAACAGGGAGGGTCCCGGTTCTGTGGAAAACATCATGTCTTGTTTTGGTACCCAAAGTAGGGCGATGGGCTGAGATAAATGACTACAGAACGGTGGCCCTCACAATACACATCATGAAGACCCTGGAGCGGTTGCTTCTCTGCCTTCCGAGGCAGAACATATTGGAGTGGATTATGCCGTCCTTTACATGCTCCAACGGGCCCATTCTTACTTGGATGAGCCAGGTGGTTACATGAGGATTATGTTCTTTGATTTTTCAAGTGCATTTAAATGCACAGTATGTAACTTCCGCAGCCAGGAGTCTTTCAATCAAAAGTGTATGAAAAGATGGAATTGGGTGACAGCAGATTTTTAATGGCAGCCCAATAATTCACAGTGATCTCCTCCTCTCCATAACAAACGCAACAGGGGATTGAAACTGGTAAACAAATAAAGCTGTGTAACTTGTATAGTAACTGATACTGCTTGTTTGTTTTTTTTCAATAAATTATGAAGCAGACATTCAACAGGTTTTTCCCAGCTGCCTAATTATCCACAAAGGTTCCCTACTTTCCAGTAAACGAATAAAGTTTCACTTCAACCAAGGTGTAAAAAGTGAAGTGGATTACTAGATAAAAGTCAATTTTGAGCATCTGGCAGGCAAACACAACACCTACCCATGCATAAGGGATATGATATTGACAGGCGACCAAATGACGTGGAGTGTTACCATATTAAAATTACATATTTCTCTAGGTTTGCGAATTACTGGAAACATTTGGGAAAAGTGGAAAAGTTACATGCTATAACTTTAATACCATCCAACTCCCCATTCTTAAAGGAAAGCTTGAAGGGATGGGGGTGGATCCCTGCTTCACGTCCTTGATTGTGTGTTACCTGACGATCACAGTACGTCAGGCTGGGTAACTGTCTCAGGGACAGTGATGAGCAGCACTGGGGCTCCACAGGGGACTGTTCTGGCACTGGGTCTTGCCACATCCAGAAATACTTGAATAAAACGGCTATTGTGGCGTGTGTCAGGAACAGGAAGGAAGAGGAGTACAGGGATTTGACAATGGCCTTCAGTGAACGGAGCGACAAGAACTGTCTCCCTCTGAACACCTCCAAGACCAAGGAGATGGTCATGGACTTTTCGAAGGTCTTGGCCCACCCTTCAGCTAGTTAAGATTCGAGGGAAGGACATTGAGGTGGTGCACACTTATTAATACCTAGGTGTGCACCTGCACAGTAAACTGGACTGGTCCCTAAACATGGATGCCATCTACTGGAAGGGGCACAGGTAGCTCTTTTTCCTCAGGAGGCTCAGGTCCTTTGATGTCTGCAGCGAAATGCTGCACATGTTTTATCAGTGGTGGCCAGTGTTCTCTTTTTATGCTGGGGCAACAGCATGTCCGACATGAACACAAGGAGACTGGACAAGCTGGTAAAAAAAGCTGGGTCTGTGCTTGGTAGGAGTCTGGACTCATTCAAGAGTGTTGTTGAGAGACGCATGCAATGTGAGATGGAGACCATCTTGGACAATACCAACCACCCTTTTCACAACATTCTGGCAGGATAGAGAAGCAGCTAAAGCTGCAGCCAGCGTCTCATCTCGCTGTGCTGCAGAGCAGAGTGGTTGAGAAGATCCTTTGTCCCCACTGCCATCAGGCTACATAACACCTCAATCAAAAAGAAGTGGCTCATGAAATGGACTAATTGAACTATTATTGTTTATTATTTATTATTATCATTGTTGGTGGTGGTGTTATTATTATTATTATTATTATTACTTTTTCTAATGGGCTACTGGACACCTGAATTTTCCCTAGGGGATAAATAAAGTATCTATCTATCTATCCATCCATCCATCCATCCATCCATCCATCCATCCATGAGAAACCTTTTAGTGCTTTGGCAGGTGTTTGCATGTAGGGGTGGGTGATCTGACCAATATATCATATGACAATCTTTTTAGGTAGAATCATGATCCACAATTCTGAATCACGGCTCTCCCCACAAATTTTGTTGAACTTGTAATCACATGACTAGTTATGCATATGGTTGCCTGAACACAAAGCCAGTAGAGTTGATACATACCCATTGCTGTACAAGAACAGCAACACACTGAATGTCTGCTAGTTCAGTGTCAATACTTGTCACTTGGATCTTTGGAATGACAACATGTAACAAGTGGTGTTTCCCACAGTTTTGTGAATGCAGCTTTAATTTGAAAGCTCTGTTTTTCTGCCATGAAAGCCACACTGACATTGCCTTACTTTTGGACCATTACTGTGGAAAGTAGGGCAGGTTTTGTTCCACAAGCCATATACTGACTGCTTAATAGGACAAAGTGAAACATAGGAAAACATGAGTAGAGTAACTGACTCAGCTATGGCTATTTTACAAACCAGTTTTGTATTTGATAATGAATGTTCTACAGACAAGAGGGAGTTTTAATGATGTGATCACACAACTAGTCATGTGATTACAAGTTCAACTAAATTTTGTGGGGAGACTCGTAATTCAAATAGTCATATCATCTTTTGGTCGGATCAACCACCCCTATGTCAGTGGAATGGTTGGGCACTGCCTGCACTCCTCACGGTCACTGTGACAAAGCTCTCATTTATGGAGGTATGCTAAGAGCTATTTGTCTCTCATATGTGACCAGGCAGGTCTCCTTATGTTTGTTTTTCTTTTTTTAGGTTGGGGAAGTTAAAGAGAGGAGTACACAGAGACATAGTGTATATCTAATCGCCCTATATAAAGGTTGCTGATATTGTGATACAACCTCACATAAAGAGTCACAGTTGGAAGTGGAAAGCCACCCCACAAAGTCAGCATTGGGCTGGTCCTGTGGTTGTGTTCACTGGGGTTTTTTTTTTCCTGTCTCCTCCTCTCTTGCGCCTCTGCTGGTATTCAGTGTGTTTACTGAGTGTGCTCTATGTTGATAGGTTGGGCCTGACAGGTTGCTAAGGAGCAACCGAGTCACTGGATGTTTGACTGTACCTACATTACTGTGGCTTACATTATTTCACAGCTGTGAAACCCAGTATTCGTGTCATAGTCCAGTCTTTTAATTTTTTTTATGTCTGAATGAATCTCAGTGAAAACCTTGTGGCTGAGTTAGCGCTTTTTAAGAATCAAAAGAAAAAGTAAGCACAGAATAATTTCCCTCATGCCTGCTCATGACCTAAAACTACTGAATGTTGGTCCGGAGATGATGCATCTACAATGTATTTCTCTTTGACTCTGATCAAACACAAGAAGACAATCATAATTCCCGAAGGATATAAAGAGTTATTAAAACTATCTCACCACTAATCCAAAGGTTATAGATCTTCTGTGAAGATAGACCAAAGACAAATATTTAGCCAGTCATTCATTATTTTTCCATAATAACTTGACAACCCATACATACACTCATAAACAATAACCTACCTTTAGACCTTTAGATACTTAAGTGGCATTCCTTTCTTTGATGTTTGCCAGTGGGTCATTACCTCCATTCTCTTTATTTCTACCTGTTATTTAAAGATGGGGCAACACCCATTATCACATCAATAACCCCAGGTGGACTGCAATTTTCCCTTATTGTGACAATCGAATAATTGTTTCCATCATTTACCAAGAAAAAAAACTTTATAAATATGTTGCACTGAGACTCTTGTAATTTTACACCATGCAATTTAGTTGAACTTGGCTGGCACACTGCCAGCGTTGCGTGGCATCTTGGTTTTCATTTCAGTGCCCATGTTAACAGGTTAATTTAGCGATATGAGATGCGTCTGACGCATGGCGCAAGTTTTGGTTATCACCTATTTTTCATACGTGGCGCATGCGGTTATATGTCAATAATTTAACAGGTGAAGGGCAGTATTTTTCTGATATGTACTCTCTCTCTCTCTCTCTCTCTCTCTCTCTCTCTCTCTCTCTCTCTCTCTCTCTCTCTCTCTCTCTCTCTCTCTCTCTCTCTCTCTCTCTCTCTCTCTCTCTCTCTCTCTCTCTCTCTCTCTCTCTCTCTCTCTCTCTGTTGCTCTTTATGAGGGTAAATGATGGTAATAAGGTTCATAATGAAAAGAAATCAAAAGCTCAATTATTGATGGCCATTATACAAGGCAAATTCAATCTTGAAAGATAGAGCTGGCAGTAGCAGGGCCACAGCAGACATGCAAACAGTGTGGACACACAAGCCACAGCAGTTCAGTGAGGTAGCTGTCACGGACAGACAGTATGTCCCAGGTGTAAAAGTTTTATGGTTGCCAACATTCAGTTTCACTTTTCAGGATGAACACACACATATCCAGCCTGTTTGGCTGGTCTCAGGGTAGTTAACGAGTGTACATTTCTCGCGTGTCTTGATCATAGAACTCCATTCAATCTCAGTGGACCAGTGAAATACTAACAGGTGCTCAGGAAGATAAAGTTTCAGCTGACAAGTGCTGATTTCAGCTGCTATTGTGTGTTGGAGTGTGTGGGTCTGTGAAGTGGTTAATGCAGGCAGTATCTAATCTGTGTTTTTCTCCCCAGGGTTGACAAGGACCGGAGCGGAGTGATATCAGACTCAGAGCTTCAGCAGGCCTTATCAAATGGTATGTATCAATGCCAACACTCAGTTGGCAGGTTATCCTAGCTAAAACTAATGTCTAATATAACAGTCTGGTAATAAATCCTACCATCATAATGAAATTGTTTTAGAGGTGTTAATTCAAACTTATGTCCATTATGAATAATTAGGATAACAGACTTTCCTCTTCTAGTGTTAAAAGTGAAACAGGCCATTTGAAATTTAGAACAGTAGAGGAAAACTCTAACCTCTGTCTGACTTAAACAAGCATGTAAGCTAAACAGCTAAAACAGGAATTTTGATTTTCACTTATAATACTAGGAGTCACTAGCTCTAGATTGATGGCTCATCAACTGGTGATGATGCTAGCATTTTGCCTGGGATAGCCATCAAGTGCATATTAAAGACCTGAGAGGAAATAAAAGTCAAAAATCGACATGCAAAGTACCCAGAGAGTGAATATGAGGATAACAGCTGCTAGTGATGGAGGTGCAATAACTCTATGCCCTGAGTAGCTCAGGAAGAGAAAGGATTCAAACAGTATTAAGGGTTCAGATCCCAATCTATAGGTTACACAGGACATCTTCTCTGCACAAATCTGGGAAAGGGAAGTCAGTTTTGTTCTTGCTTGGACTTTGAAGAGCTGCCACAATGCAGGTTGGTAAAAATATCTATTTTCATGCCCACACACAACACTGCACCAGCATTGCATCTTGCTCTCAATGTTACAGCAGAGCGGAAATACAGTACTGATTAATGAGACATATATTTTAGAGCAGAGTTTACCTAGAAACTGTAACACATGTTGATGTTTTGTCTTCTCATTAAAATATAATGTGTTCCCCACCAAGTTTATGACTGAATTGCTTGGGCAGTTTTTCCAAGACTGTTGAACAGATTACTCTCCCCAGAAATCCATTTTTGGATTTGGATTTTTATAAAAGAGGAGTTAAAGACAGTAGCAGCAGTGAAAAAAGGTTTTACCAGTCTGTGCAGAGGCTGCGGATCAGCATACTGATAAGAGTGAGTGCAGCATTTCCCACACATAGGCCTTACTTTTATCTACCAGGTAGATAAAATCACTTGGTTTCAACGTAGGTAAATTTTTTGCCACATACCCGTTTGAGTTATGTGCGCTGCAGTAACTGAGTGGGGACTGGATGCTGTTCACAGCGGCCTAGCTAGCGTCTACTAATAGCTTACATGTGAGGCATTAAGGGAACATCTGTAAATTGTAACGTCTACGATGGTCTGCATATTAGGCATTTAATAGGGTTTTAGTTTTCCTGCCCAAAAGCATAGCTAACCGTTAACTAACTACAGCAGATAGCCGGTGCTAGTTAATTGATCTGGTTGACGGACAAACTGAAAGCTAGGGAAAGAAATAATGGAAAACCACCCGTTTCCTGTTTTTTGTTTTGATAATAAAAACAGAGCATATGTTGCATTAGTCTTGCAGTTTGCTCGCTCACTGTATTACACACTTTGGGGATAAGACTATACGAAAGGAGCAGAAGAGACAGAGCCAGACCCCGGCTCTGAGACTTCGACATTATTGAGATGCGGAAGAGCTGACTAATAATAAACAAGTAACGTTAGCATGCGGCTGTGTGTCTGCTACAACTGTTAGCTCACTTACCTGTAAATGAACGTGCTTTCGACAATAAACGCATGTTCATTTACAGGTAAGTGAGTTAACTCTTTTGTGTTTAGTTTTCCTGCCCAAAAGCATAGCTAACCTTTAGCTAACTACAGCAGATAGCCGGTGCTGGTTAATTGATCTGTTTGAAAGGCAAACTGAAAGCTAACTGTTGTAGCTGATACACAGCCATATGTTAACGTTACTTGTTTGTCATTTCTGTCAGCTTTTCTGCATCTCAGAGGGTATTCACCAACGTAAGGCTTTGTGAAATGTTTACATTTACTGTAGGAGTTAGTTAGCCTAGCCATTAACATCACAGCTGTAATGGCTGCACTGACTTTGACAGTATTTATTTATTAAGCTCTAGTGTGGACTTTATGTTAGCAAATGTGTGTTACCAGCATCGTGTGGATAACTGGAGAGACCCAGGCTGAAACTGGCAACAGGTTCTCCTCTTGCTTTTGTTGGAGACTAAATGTCTGTCTTTTTAAATAATATATGTGAAGAAATAAGAGTTTTTTTTTCTTAAATGCTAATAAATGATGTACATGGATTGTTGATGATTTAGGGGTGTTAATTAAATGTATTACCTTCACATTAAATAGGTGTTTTGTAGTACAACTCAGTGTATTACAATAAGTGACAATACAATAAGAGTTGTTATTCTGATTCCAATTTACAGCAGAGAAGCAGCCAGTGTGGGCACCAGTGCAGACCAGTGGGGTTAGGACTGACAAGGCATAAATGACACAGAAATCCACTGTGATAACTTTGTGGTCTCCCACTATTGTGAGTTTAAAAAATGTTTGATCACACAACACATATTTGTAATACAAATCTGACGTAGTGATGTATATAAGTACATTTTAATGTATGTGTAACTATGAGAAACAAAAGAGAAAATGCTTTGTGTTTAGCCCCTTCCTCTTGATCCTACTTAGGGACATGGAAATGAGAAGTGTTCAGAAATTTTGATTATAAAATAATAATAATTCAAGCATTAGAGTAGTGACACATTGATTTGCTTTCGAAAATGCTACTCAACCTTCATTAGGAAGATACTGAGCTTCTCTGCAGAGAAATCATGGGTCTGGTAAAACACAGATGAAGGTCAGCAGGTTTACACAAGCACTGTTTTGCATTGTTTCTCTTACAGTTAACTAAATATTGCCAATCTTTGCCGTTTGTGCCCAAGCTGAAGCTAAACTGCATTGCTGGCTGCTGAAAAAAATCTGAAGCTGAGCTTCATTGTTAAATGCCAGCAACTAACATTTAAAATGGAGCTGCAACTAGCTGTCTGTGTTAGTTTTGAGTAATGGCTAAAAAGGGTATTCTGAGGTCACTGTGACCTTGACTTTTGACCTTTGACTACCAAAGTCTAACCACTTCATCCGTGAGTCCAAGTGGACATTTGTACAAAATGTGAAGGGATTCCCTGGAGGAGATCTTGCGATATTGCATTCATGAGGCCAAAATCATAATTTGTCAGGTCACCGTGACCTTAACCTTTGACCTTCAATGCCCGAAATGTAATCAGTTCATCCTTGAGTCTAAGTGAACAATTGTGCCATATTTGAAGAAGTTCTGTCAAGGCGTTATTGAGATATCATGTCCACCAGAATGGGACATTTGTCCTTATGGATGGACATACAACCTAAAACCAATATGTCAACGCCTCTGGCTGTTGCCAGCACGGAGGCATTAAAACTGCCAAATGTTAGTCAAATGTTTGAAAAACAGTACAGACATCACAGAATTTGTCTAATTAGCTGATCTGAATCAGTTGTGTATGTCCATCTGCACTTAGAGGTTGCCATGGTGATCCTGAGTGCTCAATTCCTAATGAGTGAGACATCAACTCAGCTGAGACACACCTCTCAACCTCTGGCTTGCCAATCAAAGACTATTAAATCCTATCAGCTGAAGCGTTGTGTTTTCTGAGAAAGGAGACTCTGTTGAACGTGATATAAAGTACTTGTCTGTGGTGTCAAAAGTAGCTCCAAAGTATTCCACCAATTAGAATATATGCAATGTGGAGTCAATTAGAATGACAAACTGAAATTAACTGTGTTAACTCTGTGTGTGTGTGTGTGTGTGTGTGTGTGTGTGTGTGTGCGTGCGTGCGTGCGTGCGTGCGTGCGTGCGTGCGTGCGTGCGTGCGTGCGTGCGTGCTTGCTTGTAAACCTTATAGAGATCAATCAGGTTGTTAATGAGCATCACCTGTGTGCAGCTGGAAGACACAGAGCTCACATGAACACACACACACACAGTGCTGATTTGCCTTATACTGTAATGTGGAGTCAGTTAGAATGACAAACTGAAATTAACTGCCGAATGTTTCCGGAATAAAACTGGACTGAAACATATTTCCAGTAAAAACTGTTGAAATGTGTGTAAATCATTGTCTATATTTACTGTTGGAGCAGTCTGTAGCTGGACTTTGACAGAAATGTCACTTAGGTGGTTGATAAACACCTCAGATATCAGAGGGGTCTCTAATCAGGTCATTTGATCCACCTGTATAGCCCCTTTCCTGCACTCAGAGGTTGCCCTGGTGATTTTAACTGGTTTAGTTTGACTGAGTGGGACAGAGATTCAGTTGAAATATACCTTTCTAACTGAGGCTTGTCACATGAGTGTTTAGATTTTCTGAGAGAGGAGACTTTGCCCATCACAGTCATATAAAATGTTTGTCTGTGGTGCCAAAAATGTGGCCGAGCAGCAATTTTAAAAATGCCTCCCTTCCTGTTTCCTCCTGATTTTCTGCTCTCATTTTACATTAGAGTGATTGGGGCAGTTATGTAGATGGTACCCTACCACTTTGCTTTGTTAGTCACATTGTCTGAAAGACAACAAGTTTGCCTGGTTGGTGGGAAATGATTATGTGCGTAGAGTGAAATTTGTGGCCTGAAGGACCTTTTTTTTTTTTTTTTTTTTTGTTTTTTTAACGGCGAGTTAATCCACTTCTCCCACTCTAGCGGTAATGTCACCCACTCTAGCCCTGAACATTCCACGCAATACACACCCATTATAAACTCAAAAGTGATCAGAAAAAAACATAAACCATAAACTGTGATAAATTAAAAATTGTACAAGATATCAAAAAGTTGAATTCAAGTTAAATAGCTGAGAGTCTTGGGACTAGTTTAAAGATTAAATGAAGTCTCTAGCTAAAAGTATGGTGAAGTAATTGAGTTTCAAAGAGGAGACAGGTTTCAAGGATTTGAACATTCTCTTCCATTGTAAAAAAAAAAAAAAAAAAAAATCCAACAAAATGATAAATATTTCAGAAATTATTAGACATATCACTGAGAAAAGTAATACCTGGAATGTCCTGATCGAGACACACGTTTTGACGTTTGAATGGAGTTTCTACAACAAAC